TTCTTCTTCTTCTTCTTCTTCTTCTTCTTCTTCTTCTTCTTCTTCTTAGGTTATTTATCCATATTATTCTGCTGTGGATAAATTAATATATTTAGGAAGATTGGAAGGTAAAAATATTTTGGAAAAGAGCCTGATATTATTACATATATTATATTATATCAACTTTTTCTAAGGAACAAAATGAATGGCTTATGCTCATACAGATGATTGGCCACTTGCTTATGCCAAGTATTTGGAAAAATTAGAAAATCATTACCCAGGAAACAAATTAAGTAATTTCTTAAAGGTGCATCCTATAGTTTTTCCATTCAAAACAAAAGTTAATTGGACTGTTGATGTTTTAACAGTGTTTACTGATGGTTCATCATCTGGCGTTGCTGCCTATATTTATGAAGAAAGAACAATATCTTTCAAGTGTCTAATCACATCTGTGCAAATAGCAGAGTGTCTGCAGTATTAGCTGTGTTTCAGAGTTTTAATAAACCTTTAAATATTTTTACAGAGGGTGCACATATTGCTCAGTCTTTGCCTAGGTTAGAGACTGCAGGTCAAATTCAAACATCTTCTACTGCTGAAGTTTCATTTTTACATATTCAATTTTGACACAAGAAAGGACTTTTTCCTTTTTTTTACAAGACATTTGAGGGCTTATTCTTATTTGCCAGGACACCTGTTTAAAGAAGATGCACTGGCAGATAAAGCTACCAAAAATTTATTATTCACAGTTGAAAAAAGCCCAGGATACCCATAATATGGATCATCTTTTTTTTAATTCTTTGTTAATTATACCTTATTACTTTGTATCCCCCCTGTGGTTCCCTCCTTTCTCCCGTTCCAATCCCTCCCTTCCTCCACCCTCTGCATGCATGCCCCTCCCCAAGTCCACTGATAGGGGAGGTCTTCTTTTCCTTCCTTCTGATCCTGGTCAATTAGGTCTCATCAGGAATGGCTGCCTTGTCTTTTTTTTGTGGCCTGGTAATGCTGCTTCTGCCTCAGGGGGAGGTAATTAAAGAGCAGGCCAATCAGTTCATGTCAGAGACAGTCCCTGTTCCTATTACAATGGAACCCACTTGGATACTGAACTGTCATGGGCTACATCTGTGCAGGGGTTGGTTGGAGTATCAGTCTCAGGAAAGACCCCTGTGCTCAGATTTTTTGGTTTTGTTGCTCTCCTTGTGGAGTTCCTGTCCTCTCCAAATCTTACTGTTTCCCACTTCTTTCATAAGATTCCCTGCACTCTGCCCAAAGGTTGCCCATAAGCCCATATCAATGCATCTGCATTGATAGTCTGCAAGGCAGAGCCTTTCAGAGGTCCTCTGTGTCAGGCTCCTAACTTGTTCCCTCTTTTCTCCTTCTTTTGATGTCCATCCTCTTTGTCTTTCTGGATAGGGATTCAATCTGGTGCTTTCTTAGACAACTAGGAATAGCGCTTCCTCAAAACCCAGCTATACCACTCCTAGGCATATACCTAAAAGAGGCTCAACTACCCAATAAGGACATTTGCTCAATCATGTTTATAGCAGCCTTATTTGTAATAGCCAGAAGCTGGAAACAGCCCAGATGCCCCCCAGTGGAGGAATGGATGCAGAAATTGTGGTACATCTACACCAAGGAATATTACTCAGCAATAAAAAACAAGGAAATCATGAAATTTGCAGGTAAATGGTGGGATCTGGAAAAGATCATCCTGAGTGAGCTATCCCAGAAGCAGAAAGACACACAGATTATATACTCACTCATATAGACATATAATATAGGATAAACCTACTAAAATATGTACACCTAAAGAAACTAATCAAGATGGAGAACTCTTGCTAAAATATGCATCATCTTAAAAGCCAAACTTTGAGACTTAAATAGGGGTTGACTAAGGAACAGGCTTGTAGTATAGTGAAGGCTTATAGTACTTGTTCTAAATTTCAGCCTGTTCCTCATTTAGGAGTCAATCCTAAAGGATTGGCACCAAATCAAATTTGGCAAATGGATATTACTCATATTTCTGAATTTGAGAAATTAAAATATGTACATGTTTGCATATTTTTGCCACTCCTCAATCAGGAGAGGCTGCAAAAAATGTTCTTGCTCATTGTCTGCAAACTTTTAATGTTATGGGAGTACCTAAGCAATTTTAAACTGACAATGAAACAGGATATATTAGCAAATCTTTTAAAAATTTTTGTGAACAATTTCAAGTTTCTCATATAACTGGTACCTTACAATCCTCAAGGACAAGGCATGGTAGAGTGCCCACCAAATAATTAAGATTTATTTGCAAAAAACAAAAAACGGGGAGCTTCTTCCCTGGACTTCTAAGAATCATCTTAATCATGTTCTTTTTATTTTGAATTTTTAATTTGATTAAACATGCAGTGGATAGATTTTGGCATACAGAAACCAAGAAAACTTTTGTTAAAGTAAAATGGAGGGATCCTTTAACACATCAATGGCATGGACCCTACCCTGTACTCATATGGGGACAAGTTTCTGTCTGTGATTTTTTGCAGGAAAATGATGTGGCTCGATTGCTACCAGAACACCTGGGGTGACAAGTGGATGAGGAGCTTTACCCTGACAATGATAATGAAGACCCCTCTGGTCAAGATGAATGTTTATTGGGTGTATGTTCCTGATCTACCTTTACTACATCCAGTTTCCTGGGATGAGCCAGAGGTCCTTGTTTATGTTAACAACACATGTATGCTGGACTTTCCTTTTATTTAATGAACAACAATATATACAAACAAATGATTATACTGGTTCAGGAACTGGATGGCCTATTTGCTTGGCACAGATGCCATTCAGTGTTTAAATGAATTTCTATTATGCCTTTTAAATATGATGAGACAGAATTTAATTGGACTTGGGATCAGAATCATCTTGCTAGTATTTGGTCTAGCAAAAACTTCTCAATGGACATGTTAAAAATGAGAAAATTTTTATATTCTATATAAAATTCTATATCCATGATATAGAATCTACCAAGGGACATAGATTGGAATTGGCCAATTCTAATGATATGTTATGTCAAATTGGCATAAACTAGATTAATCTGAGAAGGACAAACCTCAATTAAGAAACTGCCTTAGTACTACTGGCATTGGGCAAGCCTGTAGGGAATTTTCTTAATTAGCAATTGGTGGTGAAGATCCAGTCCATTGTAGGTGATGCCAGCCACTGATGGTGACCCTGGGTTCTGCAACAGAGCAACCTGAGCAAGCCATCACAGGAAGCCAGTCATGACCACTACTCCATGGCCTCTGCTCAGCTTCTGCCTCTGGGTTCCTTCTCTGTTTGAATCCCAACATTGACTTCCCTCAGTGATGGACTGTTACCTGGAAGTGTAAGAAGAATAAATTTTCCCATCCTTTTAAGTTGCTTTTTGTCATGATGTTTTATCATAGTAATAGTAATCCTAAAGAAGACAAACTCTTTATCCTCTTCTTTCCCTCTGTTCCATGTTTTATTTACCACAAGTTTCCTTCCCTCACTGAGCTCCCCTTCCATACTCCAACTACAGTTGTGTTCATATTTATATAATTATTTTTAAAATATAGGATTTAAAGACAAGAGACTACATGTAATAGATGTTTTTGGTAAGCCATATGTCCACCACTGCCTCTTTCTCATCGATCACAAACTACTCTAAATTCTCTGTATCTGCTCTCAAATGTAGAGACCCAGAAACCTCACTCTGTACTTTTTACAAGAGAAACAAATGCTCTTAACCACTGATCTGGCATTCTATCCCCAAGCCTTTCTGTTTTAAGGTTTATTTATCCTTCTTTATCTTCTCCGTTTCTTCTCTCCACATTTCCCATCCCTCTCCTATCCAGAATTCCTTCTACTTCTCCCATCATCTTCCTTCTTTCCTCTCTCTTACCTCCTCTTCTCCGTTTCCCTGTTTCTCTCTGTTTTTGTTGATCAGGATATTTATTGTTTCCTCAGGATTGTAATCAAAGGTTTTTCTAGTATTATTTCTGTAAAATTCACTTGCTATAAAAGGTTTTGATTTTTAATGGAAGTCTGTCATGAGTGCATCTCGATATTTTTAGTTTGAGAGCTCTAAGTTGGTCCTTGAACTTCTATGTTGACTTTTTGCCCCAGTGGTTGCTTACTTGCTTTGATCATATTTTTGGCTGTAACTTTAACCTGGATTCTCTCAGAACACTGTGCCCAGGCTATTTACTTTCTCATTTGGTGACTACTTTGCATAGGTCCCTACAAGCTACCCAGGTGCCCATATTTTATAAACCAGGCCTTTGCAGTGAGAATTGAAATGCTTTGTACAAGCAGGGACATGAAGATGGAGTCGCACACCCAGATCTTGATATTCCTGCTCCTCTGGATGTCTGGTGAGACATTAAAGAGCATAACAATATAATCATAATAGTTCATTCGTAGAGAAACAGCTGTTTAGTATACGTATCCAATAGTATGCAAGCAATTCCATTAGAAAAGGCATTTTTGATCCCAACATTGTGTCAGTAACTTTACACACACACACACACACACACACGTGTGTAAAGTTACTGACACATGTGTAAAGTTGTGTGTGTAAAGTTATATGTGTGTGTGTGTGTGTGTGTGTGTGTGTGTGTGTGTGTGTGTACTGACTGTCTATTTTTGGTTGCAGGTACTGAGGGGAACATTGTGATGACCCAGTCTCCGAAAGTCATGTCCACATCTGTCAGTGACAGGATCTCTCTAGACTGCAAGTCCAGTCAGAATGTGTATAATAATGTAGCATGGTATCAACAGAAATCAGGGCAGCCTCCTAAACTTCTAATCTATGGTGCATCCAATAACCCCTCCGGGGTCCCAGATCGCTTCACAGGCAGTGGATCTGGGACAGATTTCACTCTCAGCATCAGCAGTGTGCAGGCTGAAGCCCTGGCAGTTTATTACTGTCAGAAGCATTATGACTATCCTCCCACAGTGCTTCAGCTTCCAACACAAACCTCTTTGAATGTCTCACCACTTGCCTGCAGCACATACAGCAGTTGGCCTGCACACTTCCCCATTCTGCCTGAGATCTGTTATGCATGACTAATTGATTCAAGCTTCAGTAGAAAGTTAATAAACTGATGGCCTCCATTCTTCCATAATGTTTACAACACAGGAGCTTATTTATAAAAAGTGAGAAGCTAAGTTAAAGGATTTGGAAGTTCTGGTTTTGCACTGAGAGGATAGAGTATAAGCAAAGAATCACCAGTGAACTTTACAGTGTAATATTGGCTTTAGATATCTCTATGATATGCTTTTAGGGTATAATAAAACTGTATAAAAATTTGATAGAATTTCAAATCATTTACAAAGATACAGAATCATGAATTTATTAGTTTAGATTAAGAATCTTCAAGCAATTGATTTTTGACCTGGGCAGTGGTCATCTTCCATTCAGTTCCTTCAGAGTTGTCAAAAGATTTATTATATAAGCAGGAAGGTTTAAATCCCTTTAAGAACTGTCATTTGTCAACATTCATTCAACATAATTCTTAGAGTATTTGTGCTAATTAATCTTTGAAAATATTAGGACATATTTGCTGGTATACAAGATCTTGCAGTCTCTTAGCTATTCAAGTACATGTACATATGTCTGGCATTACAAATTTAAAAAGAAAAACATGGAGAATGTTGGGAAACAGATAGACCCAATGCTCTCTCTGAGGTCCCCATGAAAGGACAAATAGAATTTTTGTTCTGTGTTTTTGTCCAAGGTATTCTTGGCAAGGTCCAGTCTGAACATTGGGCCTGAGCCTTGAAGCAATTAAGGTTTCAGCCCTTGGGAATTGGGCTTTTTCCTCTGAAGGGCAGTTGTGAGTGAAGTATCCTGTGTTTTCTTTGCTAACAGTGTCTGATTTAGCTCTCTTCTCACATGGATCCAACACCTCCATTCAATAGTACAGAAGATGCTACACTTCTTAATAAACTTTCTTGACATAGTCATCAACTTATGCAAGCTTTCCTTGTCCCAACCTTTCCTTTTGTCTTCTTAATTCTGTGCTTCTTCCACTTGACAACTCACAATTCCTGACCCTTACAACTGCAGGTTCATGTCACTGTGGAATGTTTTTCTTCCTGTGTCCCTTGGTATTGATAGATTTGTTGAGTACAATAGTGTTGGTTGGAACCTGTGGACTCTCAGAGTTTGTAGAATATCCTTACAGGACCTTTGTTTTAAGGGCTTCACTGAGAAATCAGGTGTTCTTTTAATGTTCCTGCTCTATACATGACTTTGTCTTTTCCCCATTGAATCTTTTAATAACCCTCCCTCCATATGTTGAATGTTTTGATAGTGATGTGTTGTGGGAAATTTCTTTTCTGTTTCAGTCTATTTGGTATTCTGCATGGGTCTTGTATATTGCTTGACAGGTATCTCATTGTTTAGAGTAGAGGAATATTCTGCTATGATTTTGTTGAAATCATTATCTGTGCTTTTAACCTGATTGCTTTCTTTTCTCTATCTCCATTATTCATAGGGTTGTTCTTTTGATAGTGTATCAGGTTTCCTCCATGTTTTGTGTCAGGATATTGTTTTAGACAGTGTGGTTTCTTTGAGAAAGTTACTTTATCTACCTTGTCTTCAAGACTTGAAATTCTCTCTTGCTTGTTTTGTATTCTGGTGGTGAGTCTTAGCTCATTTTTAAAATTAAAATCTATTTTTATAGTTATTCTCTTTTCATCACAGTTATAAACCCCTCCCTTGTCTCCTTTCAGTCCCATTCTCCCTTGCTCTTTTCCCTTATTCTCTTCCTCTGCTTCTCAGAAAGGGGGAGACGTCCACACCTACCATCTGACTTCAGCCTATGAAGTCCCATTAAGACTGCCAGAATCTTTTTCTCTGTGGTCTGGCAATGCCCTCTTCCAAAGGGAAGTGATCAAAGAGTAGGTTACAGTGTCTATGTCAGAGAGAGCCTCTGCTCCCCTTACTAGGAACCCCACATGGAGACAGAAGTGCCCATAGGCTACTTCTGAGCAGGAGGTCTATGTCCTTTTTATGTATGTTCCTTGGTTGGTACATCAGTTTCTGCAGGTCCACTTGAACTCAGATTTGTTTGTTTTGTTTGTCTTTTACAGAGTTCCTGTTCATTCTGGTTCCTTCAATTCTTCCACTCATTCCTATGACTTCCTTCCCTCTGACCAAAGTGGCTGTGAGTCAATGTGGCTGTGAGTCTTAGCTTATGCTTTGATCCAGTGCTGGGTGGAGTCTTTCAGAGGACATTTATGAGAGGCTCCTATTCTGTTTCCTCTCTTCAACCATTTCCAGCATCTATTATATTGCCCTTTTGGATGTGAATTAATCATCCTTCTTGGTGTCCTCCTTGTTAGTTATCTTCTTTAGGTCTGTGTATTGTATGATCATTATCTTGTATTTTGCTTTTCTTTTTTTTTCTTTGTGCTTGCTATTTTTTTCTATTTATGTATTTATGCATTTATTTATTTATTTATTTGAATTTATTCATTATATATACCAATTGAAGCTCCTTCCCTCATTCCCTGCAAGTCCCTCCCCCCCCCCGTTTTCCCCCATATGCCTTTATTCTAGTATACCAAAAGGGGTTATTCTCTTCCTCTGCCATCTCCCCATACTTATCAAGTCTCATCAGGACTGCCTGGATCAACTTTCTTAGTGGCCTAAAAGGCTGTATCACCACAGGGAAATGGTCAAAGAGCAGGCAATAGAGCTCATGTCAGAGGCAGCCCTTGCTCCCCTTACTCAGGATTCCCACATGGAGTTTGAGCTATCAATCAGCCACATATGAGCATATAAATGTCCTCCTCATTTATAGTTCTTGGTTAGTGCATTATTCTCTGCAGGGCACCCTGGGCTCAGGTTTTTAGCTCTTTTGGTCTCCTTGTGAGGCTCCTAGCCCCTCAGTGTGCTTCTCTCTCCCACTTCTTCCATAAGACTCCCTGTTCTCTGCCCAAAGTTTGGCTGTGAATTTAGGCATCTGCTTCAATCTTTCATTGAGGGACATCTAGCTTGTTTCCATATTCTGGCTAATACAAGTAAAGCTGCTATGAGCATAGTTGAGCAAATGTCCTTTTCGTATAGTGGGGCATCTTTTGGGTTTATGCCCAAGAGTGGTATAGCTGGATCTTGAGGTACCACTATTTCCAAATTTCTGAGAAAGTGCCAGATTGATTTCCAAAGTTGTTGTACAAGTTTTCACTTCTACCAGCAATGGAGGAGTGCTTTCCTTTCTCCAGGTCCTCTTGAGCATGTGTTATCCCTTGTGGTAAGATGGAGTCTCAGAGATGTTTTGATTTGCATACACCTGATGACCTGGGATGTTTGGCATTTCTTTAAGAATTTTTGGCCATTTGATATTCTACTGTTGAGAATTCTCTACTTAGCTCTATACCTCATTTTCTAATCAGATTATTTGGTTTGTTGGTGTTGTTGGTTTCTCGAGTTCTTTGTATATTCTTGATATTTGTCCTTTGTCAGATGTTGGATTGGTTTAGAAAATTCCCCAGGCTATGGCTAATTTTTTTTTTTTCAGTTGAGAGTGTCCTTTTCTTAAAAAAAGATTTCAGGTCCATTAGGCCCTATTTATTAATTGTTTATCTTAGAAACTGAACTGTCAGTGTTCTCTTCAGGAAGTTGTTTCCATTGCCAATGAGTTTGAGGCTCTTCCCCACTTTTTCTTCCAACACATTTTATGTCTCTAGTTTTATGTTGAAGGTTTTATCCACTTACCCTTTAGTTTTGTGCAGAGTGATATATATGGGTCTATTTGCATTTTTCTACATGTAGACATCCAGTTAGCCCAGCACCACTTTTTGAAGATGCTATCCTTTTTTCCATTGTATGGTTTTGGCATCTTGTCAAAACTGGGGTGTACGTAGGTGTTGGGTTTGGGTATATTTCTCACTCTTCAATTTTATTGCACTGATCCACCAGTCTGTTTTTATGCCAGTATCATGCGGTTTTTATTTCTATTGTTTTATAGTACAGTTTGAGTTCAGAGATGGAGATACCTCCAGAAGATCTTTATTTGTAGAGGATGTTTGGCTAGTTTGTTTGTTTATTTGTTTTTTTTTTCCATATAAGGTTCAGAATTTTTCTTTCAAGCTCTGTAAAGAATTGTGTCTGTAAATTGTGTTGGAATTGCATTGAATCTGTAGAGTGGTTTTGGTAAGATATTTCTATTTTGTGGAATAGTTGTAGAGTGTTAGCTCTTCTTTGAAGGTCTTGTAGAATTCTGAGCTGAAACCACTGGCTCTAGGCTCTTTTTGGATTAGAGACTTTTGATGACTGCTTGTATTTCCTTAGGGGGTATAGGGCTATTTTACGTGATTTTTTTTTCCATTGCAAGACACATGAGGATCTTTTTCTTTTAACTTTTATTAATTACACTTTATTCACTTTGTATTCCCCCATAAACCCCCCTCCTGCCCTCCTAATTCTACCTTCCCTCCCCCTTCTTCACACATGCACCTCCCCAATTTCACTGATAGGGGAGATCCTCCTCTCCTTCCTTCTGATCCTAGTCTATTAGATCTCATCAGGATTAGCCGAATTTTCATCTTCTGTGGCCTAGTAAGGCTGCTCCTTACTCAGGGGGAGGTGATCAAAAAACAGGCCAATCAGTTTATGTCAGAGGCAGTCCCTCTTCCCATTACTATAGGACCAAGTTGGACACTGAAGTGCTATGGGCTACATCTGTGCGGGGGTTCTAGATCATCTCTATGCAAGGTACTTGGTTGGATTATGAGTCTCTGGAAAGACCCTTGTGTTCAAATTTTTTGGTTCTCTTGCTCTCCTGGTGGAGCTCCCGTCCTCCTCATATCTTACTATTTCCCACTTCTTTCATAAGATTCCATGGACTCTGCCCAAAGGTTGGCCATAAGTCTCAGCATCTGCTTTGATAGTCTGCAGGGCAGAGCCTTTTAGAGGCCCTCTGTGGCAGGTTCCTAACTTATTTCCTGTTTTCTTCTTCTTCTTCTGATGTCCATCCTCTTTGCCTTTCAGGATGTAGATGGAGCATTTTAGTCAGAGTCATCCCTCTTGATTAGATTTTTAGGTGTACAGATTTTAA